CCCAAAGTGCTGGGATTATACGTGTGAGCCAATGTACCCGGCCCCTATAAATGTTTTTAAACTTTCAAACATACATAAATAGTATGATACCCTTCCACGTTCTCATCATCTAGCTTTGATAATTACCAACATCCTACTATTTGTTTCATCTCTTCACATTTTTTTTTCCTGGAGCATTTTCAAAGCAAACTCAAGGTAACATTATCACTCCACCCATAAATACTTCACAATCTATCTCTAATGGATAAGAAACAAAGGAAAAAGAAACTCCTACAATACCTTCATGGCATCTTAGAAGTTCTTAATTTTAACCAAGTCGAATTTATCAGTTTTTACCTTATGGTTTGCTCTTTTTGGGTTTAATTTTACAAGTCCTTTCCTTTAACTATGGCCATAATGATACGGTCCTCTAATGTCTTCTTTGGCTATTCATATTTGAGTCTTTAATCCAACCTGAATTTGTGTACAGTGTGAAGCACAGATCTAATTCCATTTTTTTTCCTATACAGTAACTGACTGTCTTGATGTTATTACTGAAGTCTATCATTCCCTCCTCTACCTGCTATGTGTCTTGGTCATCAGTTGTTTCCTATACATAGACCAGTTTTAGGTTTCTCTATTTTGCATCAATATCTCACTCTCTTAAGCACCTAAGCTTGATGGTAATTCTTGTTATCTGGTTAAGACAAGTCACACACAGTCCCCTATTGGCATCCCCATTCTTTACAGGAGTAGAAGTGTTCTTCTTTCATATAAGTTTCAAAGAAAATAAACTAATACCCTCTCAAATATATAAATCAATTTTAGGGAGAAGTGACATTTTTTTTTTTTTTTTTTTTTTTTTTTTGGAGACAGAGTCTCACTCTGTTGTCCAGGCTGGAGTGTAGCAGTGAGATCTCAGCTCACTGCAACCTCTGCCTCCTGGGTTCAACTGATTCTTGTGCCTCAGTCTCCCGAGTAGCTGGGACTACAGGCATGCACTACCATATCCAGCTCATTTTTTGTATTTTTAGTAGAGATGGGGTTTTGCCATGTTGCCCAGGTTGGTCTCAAATTCCTAGGGAGCTTGGGCAATCCCCTCAGCCTCCCAAAGTGCTAGGATTACAGATGTGAACCACCACAACCTGCCACAAACTGTAACTTTTAATCCATGAACATGTATGTCTGTCCATTAATTTCTGAAGTGTCTCTCGATAAGGTTTTAGATATACATATATTTTAATCACAGGTCTTATGTATCTTTTGTTAGATTTATTCCTAGGTGTGTTATTTGATGCTCTGTAAAGGGTATCTTTTCTGTAATCACATGCTCTACTTGTTTGTGCAGCAATACAGAAATGTAATTGATTTTGGAAAAATTCTCTGATAAAGCTA